ACCCTATCTCTTGGGGGAAGAAGCCTTCTCTCTGAGAAGGCTTCATAGATGAGGCACATTTCAGACAGGTCTTGGAGGAAGGAGGCAAGTTTTATCTGGAGGGAAGGGGACTGGAGTGGGATTTGAGGGTAGTGAGAACATTGCAGGCTGAGCAAATGCTCAGAGCAAGAGAGCCCAGCAGAGCTGAACTGCTGTGTTCATGGACTTTGTATAGTAGGGGCTGGAAAGCAGGCCAGATCAGGCTGCTCAGCTTCAAAATGTCAGGAGGAAGGACATAAACTTCTTTTGGGCCCTGGTCTCAACCAATGGAAAGCATGTGTTTACAGCTGTGTTTTGAGAGCATTGGTCAGGGTAATAGTGCGTAAGGTAGAGGGAGGCAGGGAAGCAATAAGGAGGTTGCCAGTATGGTCCAGGTGGGGAGTCAAAGAGGGTCCTTCACCTGTGGCAAGTGTGGTGGAAAGGTCAGGATGACTGCAAAAGATATTGAAGGGGGCGTGGCTATATAGGACTTAGAGACTGACATATGTGGGGGATGGGGCAAAGGAGGACCAAGGATAATGAAAAGTTTCCAGACCCGACAGCAATACAGCCACAGTGTTTTTAGGCAAATAAGGAAATCATTGAAAGGTGGTTTGGATGAGGCAGGGAAAGATGATGGCTTTTCATAGGTGGATTGGGGGATCCATGGGCTGTTGGAAATGCAGGGTCAAGGCTAAGAATGGAGATTTGGGAGTCATTTATAATCATCATTGTCATCAAACAGCTACCATTTATTGATCACCTACTATGTACCACATGCTATGTGAAATAACTTAAGCCTCACAACAAGCAACAGAGTCAACATGATTATTAGCCTTATTTAACAGATAAGAAAACTGAGAGACAGAGAAGTTAAGAAACGTGTCCAAAGTCAACCAGCAGGGAAGACACAGATCTGGGACTGGGTGTATTCCCTGTGGCTTGTTCTTCAACCCATTAAAGTAAAGTGAAGTTATGACAGTGTGGAGGAGGTCCTCAGACAAGAGGTGGAGAAATCAGCCTGCAGAACATCTTTAGAGTTGCCCCAAAGGCTCTGCCAGGGATAGTTTTCCTCTTAATTACTTGTTTATTAACTACCAGGGGCTGCTCTAATGACTTCTAACACATAAATCACAGAAAATGTCCAGAAGTACATAGAAAAATAATTCCAGAAAGTCCAGAAGTCCAGAAAAATAATTAAAATATGTCTGGAGAACAGAAGATAGCACATATATGATTTGTAACTAGCATGCTTAGGGATTTGGTGGTCAAAATGTAGAATTAAGGAGCTCTGTTAGGGAGACAGAAGTGCTGAGGACAGAGCTTCAGGTTGATAAAAATATGAAGAATTGCAAAAGAGAGAGAGGAGAAAGGTTGAAGATGGGCCATCAAATGTAGTGATTAAAGATTATAAGTGACCTTCCTGAGAGTCATTTTAGAAGACCGATGGGGGCAGGAGGCAGACTGCAAGGAGGTGGGCGTACAGGGTGGATTGGCAGTTTGGCATCTGCTCATGGAGTGAGGCAGAGGGTGCAGACTGGTCCTCCAAGAGGTTCAGTGGAGGTAGAAAGTGATTGGACTAATGCCCCAGAGCAGGGGAGCCAAGTGGAGCTGTGTTTTATTTAGCCTGGGAGATCCGGGAGAGTCTGTAGGCAGATGGAAAGGGATCAATGGAAGGGTGGGGATTGAAAACACAAGTAAAAGAGAAAGTAGAGGATGAAGTGAATTTATAAAGGAGTCAAGAGAGTAAGATAATCAGCTCTGGGAAAGGAAAGTTACATGTCAGACTGGGAAGGTTTTTTGGGTCACAAAGGTAACTTTGGAATTAATTCTTTAATTTATCCAGTAAATATTTATTAAAGGTCTACTATGTCCTGCCCGGGCACTCTCCAAGTACTGAGGATAAAGCAGTGAACATGGCAGGCAAAGTCTCTGCCTTCATGGGGCTTATAGTCTAGTGGAGGACTTGATGGAACAGATTTAAGAACTTAAAATCAGCTTTTCTTCTCTGGGTGGATGAAGCATGGACAGTGGCTGGTAGAAGTTTCCTAGGGTTATCTCAGCCAGCCTCTGACTCCAAGCAGGATGATGGACTATGAAAGGGGGATTGACCTCTTCACTGGTCTGGAAACATGTCAGGCAATGGGATTTCACACTTTCCCTTTTCCAATAGACCCTCATTACCTAAAAAGAATGCTCTAAGGTATAGGGTTTCCCTAAAAGTATGAATAGACCAGGTAGGAAAGTGGTGTGAATTCCTGTCCGGTGTCAGTTTCTCTTGGTGCTTGGGGAAGGGTAGGAGGGAGACAGAAATTGAGGAGAAGGGGGCCAAGTAAGTGGTCAGTCCCCCTCACTCTATACTTCCCCTTGGAGGACTTTCCTCCAAGGCCAAGCCAAGGCCAATCTGCATTCTAGGCCTCAGGAAACCTGCCAGAGTTTTCCAGGGAGAACAGCTGAGCTACAGTGCTCTCTCCCTTCTGGCATGATTTCTGCAAAAGCAGGAACAAAATGCTCGGAAAGCGGGTGTGTCTCTGGAGATCCTGAGTACATGAGGTCATACTTAGATAACTCAGTTGCCAGTAGGCAACTGTCCAATTGCTATGGTGGCAGAATTCTGACAGGGCTCCTGAGAATCCTGCCCCCTAGTGTACATATCATGCATAACAGCCCTCTCAAGTGTGGGCAGAACTAGAGAATAGGGGGAGAGATCACTGCCATGATTAGGTTACCAATCCATTGATGTCGACTTCACCTAATCAGGTGAATCCCTTAAAACAAGGAAGCATCAGAGAGACTCTCTTGTGTTGGCTTTGGAGAAGCAGACCACCCTGTTGTGAAGAGGGCCATGTGGCTGTGAACAGCAGGCAGCCTCTAGTAACTGAGGCCTCAGTCTTATGATCTCGAGGAACTGCCAACAACAGTGAGCTTGGAAGAGGACTCTGAGCTTTATGTGAGACTGACAGCTGGGTTGCAGCCTGGTGAGATCCCAAGGAGAGAAGCCTACTGGACTCTGCCAAGACTAATGACATACAGAACTGTGAGAAGAAAAATGGGTGTTGTTGTAAGCTGCTAAGTTTGTGGTAACTTGCTATGTAGCAATAGATAACATACACTTATATGACTTTTTTTAAGAGCACCTTGAATGTCCCGACAATATGAACATCATAAGGACAGGGAGCACTTCCTGCCTTCTGCTTACGGCCTTTTACCTTGTTAAATGCAAATACTTCTTTCTGGGAGGAGTCATATAGGAAGCCTGTTGGGCCATCCAAACCTTAATATGATGTTTTTGAAGTATCTTCAGAGAGGAGGTTGGGAGTGGGGGGAGAGCTAGCGCAATGCCGCTAGAATTGAGGATGAGTAAAGTCACTGAATGGTTAGACTAGGAGAGAATCCTGAAGACAGAATTGAGGGCATTTGTTTTGCCTGGGATTGTCCATGAGGATTGGGGTTGTATCTGTGATATCTCCTGGGGTAGGAGGGTACTTCTGCTGGTCCCCACAGGGAGGGGATTGCTGGGGGTGTGAGGAGGCAGTCACTCCAGCTGTAGTCTCTGCTGTGTTGAATCAAGTAGAAAGTGGGTAGAATTCCTCTTTCTATTGAGGAATGAAATACTGCCTTTATATCTATACCCCTCCCCACCCGCAGCCCTGGGGGAACACAGGGGGGGTGCTGCTGCTCTTGCCTTGGGTTGTGTATCTCAGCCCACCTACCCTGATATTTCATTCAGGAATGAACTGTGGAAGTGGGCATATGGGTGTGAATAGTACATAATTCAGGGCCCAGGAACACTGTCTCACTTTCCAAACTTCCCTAAGGACTGATTGGAGCCCACAAGGCTACCATTTGTCTACCCTCTAAACATAGTCCTTGTCCTTATTTAAAGTCGAAAATTTCAGGGAAGAGGCATGGTTGAATGTTATTGATCATTGACATCTCAGGAGGAACATCTTTCTAGTCCTGTCCTGAGAGATTCTGATAAGAGAGAAGTAAGAGCATAACCTAAAGGGTAGAAAAGACCATAGACAGGGGACAGAGCTGAGAAGAGGTAAGTAAAGAAAGGCCTTGAAGACAAATGGGCCCCTTGTCAGATATTTTCCTGCGTTCAGATCTACCTGGAGGATGCGGCATGCCCCCACCAGCCAGCCCCACCAAGTCCGGTGCTGGTTGCGCAGCTAGCGTTTTTTAGTACAGGGGCGACTCAAATTGTAAACCATGATAGCCTGGGGGGACTTCCACTCTTGAAACAGCCATCCATCAACCTTTTTGTTAAATTCACATTTATTGAGCACCTACGACGTGCCAGCCCTTGGTGGGGCACTGGGAACACAGAGATGATCAGACCCAAGTCCCAACCCATATGAAGCCCCAGGGAATGGCCCAATGCAGTGACATGAATGCTGAGAGGGAATGCAGGTGACCAGGACTAGCTTGTAATTTTTAGCATTTCCGTTTAATTTTTAAATTATTTTTGAATGTGCACAATAGTAGAAAGAATAGTGTAATAAACTGCCTTACAACCATCACCCAGCTCCAACAATTCTTATTAATATTGTTTCATCTAACACTTCGACTTTTTTAATGGAGCATTTTAATACAAACTCAAAATATTACGCATTTCACCCATACATACCTCCATAAGCATCTCTGATAGGAATATTTAAAATCACCACGAAACCAGCAACATCTTACTGCAATCTGCAACCCCTCTCTCCCCCACCCTGCAGCCTCAAAAAGCCCTGCAATCCATTCCTACAACCTACACTTCTAGGGGTCTTGACAAAGACCTGGTATTTCCTGCCATGACATGCTAGTTTTCAGATCTGAGCCCCTCCGTGCCCCCCAATTGTGCATTCTTGGATCCCTGCAAAGTTGAACCAGTTACACCCTGCCTTGAGGTACAGTCAGCAGCACCATCTTTTGGAAGGGCTGTAATGCCCCTTCCTTACCTGCGCTCTTTCTCCTCTCTGTCCTTGTTGCAGATTGAAATGCTAGAACACAAGTACGGGGGCCACCTGGTATCCCGGCGCGCTGCTTGCACCATCCAAACCGCCTTCCGCCAATACCAGCTCAGCAAGAACTTCGAGAAGATCCGCAACTCGCTCCTGGAGAGCCGCCTGCCACGTCGTATCTCCCTGCGCAAGGTTCGAGCGCCTACCGCGGAGAGCCTGGCAGCCGAGAAGTCACTCATGGAGGGCTACAGTCTCCTGGGGCTGCCGCTGGTGCGCTCGCCCTCCCTGCCGCCCACCTTCGTGGGCACGCTCACTGAGCTGGAGGACTCCTTCACCGAGCAGGTGCAGTCCCTGGCCAAGTCCATCGATGATGCCCTCAGCACCTGGAGCCTCAAAACCATGTGTTCCCTGCAGGAGAGTGGCTCTTACCAGATACACCAGGCCTTGCACGCAAGCACTGGGCCACCTGGCCTGGAGGCGGAAGTGCAGGAGCCGGACAGTGCTGGCCCAGGTCTCAGGGAAGAGGCAGCTGGCCTGTCCCAGGGCCACAGCAGCACCCTGATGATGGCTTTCCGGGATGTCACCGTGCAGATCGCCAACCAGAATATCTCTGTCTCCTCCTCTACTGCTCTGTCAGTGGCCAACTGTCTGGGCGCCCAGACTTCGCAGGCCCCAATAGAGTCCGTAGCCAGCCAAGCTGAGCTGGACCAGGCTGGTGGGCAGGAGACTTCAGTGGCCCCAGCTGCAGGCCAGGAAGATGCACCAGCTGAGATCATGTGCACAGGGGAGGGAGCCGATGAGGCCCTGCGCACCATCTCACCTGGGGCCAAGGATGTGGTGTTGGGGGAGACCGGGGCAGTGCAGGCAGAGAAGGAAGAAAAGGAGGAGGAGACAGGAAAGGAGGGAAAAGGGGCTGAGGCTGAGACTGAGGCCAGAGACAACTTGGAGAAGCTGAGCAGCAGCAGCACATCCACCAAGTCCGCCAAGTCGGGCTCAGAAGTCTCGGCCTTGGCCTCCAAGGAGGCCCTGCAGGCCATGATCCTGAGCCTGCCGCGCTACCACTGCGAGAACCCCGCCAGCTGCAAGTCGCCCACACTCTCCACAGACACCCTGCGCAAACGCCTCTACCGCATTGGCCTCAACCTCTTCAACATGTAAGTGAGCTCTGGCTCCAGAGCGACAATGCATCCTGGGACGGTCCTGGACATAGGAAACAAGGGGCAGGACATGCACTGACAGATTAGCAGGGTGCCAAGTGATTTAGCCCATCACCCCAGTGCCCTCCCAGGTGGTGTATGAGCCACGCCTTCTTGAGATACTTGTGTACAAATATAGATTTTTTTCTAAATCCTCACCCAAGGATGTTTTCATTAATCTTAGAGAGGGAGGGAAGAGAGAAATGGGGAGAAAGAGGGAGAAATATAGATGTGAGAGAGGAACATTGATTGGTTGCCTCCCCTAAGTGCCCAGACCAGGGATATAATCTGCAACCTAGGTATGTGCCCTGACCTGGGATCAAACCTGCAACCTTTTGGGGTATGGGACCACACTCCAACCAACTGAACCACCTGACTAGGGCTACAAATACAGATTTTAGTTATAATTGTTATTAATTTATTTTTTAAAAATAGGAACAAAATAACATTTCAAATCCTTGTTTTCACCACTATTACTGCTTCAGGTGAAGCTAGGTTTAGAAAAGTGAGAAAATATAAATGAACATGCAGTATTAGGTAAATAATAGCACAGGTAACATGAGGATTGAGCAGAAATCATTCTGGTAGGATATGAAGTTAGAGACACACAGCAATCCCGTGGGGTTGATGAAGAGCAGAAACAGACAATGGGCAAAGCAAAACATGAGGAAAGGTGAATGAAGGACTGGGTGGGGGAAAGAGAAGAGGCCCACTTTAACGAGTGCAGGTAGAGAGCAGAATGGGCATGACAAAGCGGGAGGAAGAGACAGGAAGAGAGTGTGAGGCAAGCAGAGGTGCACTACAAAGAGAACAAGGGAATGGAAGGAGAGAAATGAATGACTGTCAGAGTCCCCACCTGGACCTTTCCTTGCTACCCGAATGCATGCGGCTGGTGGCAAGAAGAGGGCTCACATGTGGAAGTTGCAAGCATATGAGGTTCTGGTCTCCACCCTCCACTCTCTTCCTGTATCACAACCCTCCTCATAGCCCTGAACCAGGAAGCACAATATTCCTCCTGCCCACACACACGTTGCTTATTGAGTGCTGGGCACTGTGGCCACAAAGGTAAGACACATAGCCTGGTTTCAAGAAGCATATATCTTAGGGAGAATAGTATTTGTACTCTTCCAACAATATTATAGATAGTGTTGTTATCCGATTTTATAGAAGGAAGTAGGCTCACACTAGGGAGGTGAGCTGTGCCCTAGCTGATAGGCAGCAGACAGGTGAGCCGGATCTGTCTGACTCCTGATCCATTGCTCTTTCTTTTGCATCAGGCTGCCCTCTGGTGAGCACAGCCCCCACCTGACACATTCATGGCGTCATCACTTGGGCACGCACACAGCTATTTGAATCCCTCAAGACAGTGGCTCTTACACTATCTATAGTGAAGGACTAGTTTGGGTTTGTACCTGATACATTGTGGGTCAATACTTGTGTAAAATACAATGAAAATGAACTGCTAGAAAAACAATCATATGCTTGGTTGTCCTGAAAATGTCAAAGTACTATAAAACAGCAGTTCCCAACGTTTTCGGCACCAGGGACTGGTTTTCTGGAGCACGGAAGGGGAGAGAATGGGCGGAGCTCAGGTGACCTTCACTTGCAGCCAGTTCCTAACAGCCTGGGGCCCTGGGGATGGGGACCCCTGTTATAAAAGGTTCAAAATGCTTATTCTCTGTTCTTTCACTTATCTTCTCCGGGGGCAGTAAGAAACAGTTTGGGGAGCAGCATGGATTTGCAGACCGCACAATGGGCACAATTGCCTTAAGACACAGCACCCACACCCATACCCACCTATAGAGACTGAGGCCTGGGAAAGTAAATGCTGCAGAACAGGATTCTTGTATCTTTACCATCCACAGGGAAGAAGGGCTGTGGGGGAGACCTCACCACTGCTTCCCAATCTCATCCTCTCCAGATTTCAGGGGGGCTATAGGCAACAAGACACAGATAGAAAAGACCTTGGGAACCTCTTGGCAAGCCTTGGGGACCTCAGGGTAAGATCCAGGGGGAGTGATACAAGAAGAGAGACAACATCTCTTCACCTGCTCTGGAATTTACTGTACTTGGCTAGACCTTCCTTTTCCCCCTTTCTGCCCCACACTGTCTTCATTCCTCTGTGGGGAGGTCAGGAGACTGCAACCCTGGTGAAAGGTGCTTGCAATGAGGAACCCCTCTGCAATGGGAGGAGTTCTGGCATTTCCTGAGAATTCTTTCCAAGGACCTCCTGGCACTGTTTATGGATTCCGTGGGCTGGAAGAACAGGAAAAAAAAATCATGGATGGCCTTGACTCACTCTCTACTCCTCCCCACCCCCATCCACACCCCCAGAAACCCCGACAAAGGCATCCAGTTCCTGATCTCTCGTGGCTTCATCCCTGACACCCCCATCGGAGTGGCCCATTTCCTGCTTCAGCGTAAAGGCCTCAGCCGGCAAATGATTGGAGAGTTCCTGGGCAACAGCAAGAAGCAGTTCAACCACGATGTGCTGGAGTGAGTGCCCCACTGATCTCCCGGTTCCTCTCCCGCCCCAAGCTCCCGGCCCTCCCTCCGTTCCCCCTCACCTTCCCAGGATAGCTGGAGAGTCAAGTCCTCAGCTGCAGAAAGACTCAAGGAAGAGAAGGGGGGCATCTGCAGTTTCCTCCATTTCCCAGAAATCCCCTCTCCGGTCCTAACAACTCTTTGCTTGGTCCCAGGACCCACAACTCCCATGGCCTTTAGTCCATCCGTGCATTCCGACCATCCCATTTCCCCTGGAAAGTCTGTTTTTCATTGAGCACAATGTGTGCACGGTGCCAGCAGCACAGAAATAGTCAAAGGAGACAGAAAGGCCACTCTCAGGGGCAAGAGAACGAGCCTGCAAGTGAAGAGAACTGTTCGTGCCGGGGCCATCTCCACCTGGGGGACAGGCTCCTCAGTCCACCCTGTCCCTGCCACCCGTCCAGTCCTCAGGGTCCCACAGGCATCTGCCTGTTCCCCACCCAGGATCGTTTTCATACCAGTGGAGGCAAATATGAGACCAAAAAATGAAGGGGTTAGACTGAGGGTTTAAAACAGGAAAATACCACAATGATACACTGACCACCCAAATCACAACAATCAAAGAAAGTTACTTTAAAGTCAAATAGATGGGAGGTAGAGTGGGGTACAAGGGCTAATGTGCCACTTTGTGGGTATGAACAGGCCAGAGCTGCAGGGCAGAGGTGTCATTACTTGGGGCTGAGCAGCAGGGCCTTGCAGTACCCCTCCCCTGGCAAAAAGAGGGTGAGGCTCCAGGAAGTGTGCTCCAATCCCCTGCTACTCCCCAGACGTTCCCTCTCTCTTCCACTTGATCCCTAAGCTCAGTTGTTCTTGAAGGTCATCATTCCGCAGGGAGTCACCCCCACTTCCCTCTCTCCTTTCTCCTTGGATACAGTCAGCAGAACTGTTTCCCCTGTGGTCCTAGGAGAGCCTGTCCTTTTTGTCCTGGCTCTTGGAGCAGCAAGGGCCTGCTACACAGGGGCAGAGGGCTCCCCATCAAGGGTTTGGAAGCATGGGAGTCACCCAGCCTAGCTGGCAAGGTTATCGATGTTCCTGGAGTGGAAGCTCAGAGGCCTGGGTCAGTTTCAGGAGCAGTCTTTGTGCCGTGTCTTCTGACAGGTCACTACCCTCTGGGCCTGCATTAACATGCCTGCAGAGTGAGGATGCTGGGTTATGAGGGGTGGACCAGTTGCCCTTTGGAATCCTTGTCACATTCCTAAACACACTGACTGAGTGCAGTCGAAGAGTGGGGGCTTGGATCCATCTGAGGGACCGTGGAATCCCTAGAACCCAGCTCTTGCCTCTAACTCTTGGTGGCTTTGGACAATTTGCTGTCCCCCTCAGATCCAATGGCTGAGATGCTCAGAGTGCCTCGCAAAGGAAAGGAAGCTGATGAAGGCAGGCATTTCCCTCTCACCCTCCTTTCTTCTCCCTCTGCCTCTGGCTCATTTTTCCCTTCACCACCGGCCCTGCTGACAGTGCCCTGAGAAATGACAGAAAGAAGAGAAAGATGGAGTTTTCCAGGCACCTTTCTTTCCCTGTTTTGTTTCCATTTGGTTCATCTCCCGGGCTTTTTCAATGGCGTTTGTCCCTTTTTCACTCTGTAGGAGAGTGAGTGGCTGTGTCATGCCCTATGGTTCTGTTCTTTCAGACTGCTCCACATTCCCCCAGGTGACTCTGCTTTGTCCCTGTGGTCTGAGGACAGAGGTGACTGTTTCACTGGCAGGCCCTGACTGTCTGCTCTATTCTCTTCTGCCTCCCTAGTCCCCACGTCACCTGGCCCTGGAATTTTAACCTGTCAGGCTCACATTGACCTAGAATGCTGGGAACACATGGTTTTTCTCCAGCCCAGGTCACACAGCCCAGCACAATGAAAACTAATTGCCATCTTCCCTGAGAGACCGGATGTGTGGGCTGGAGACAGACCCACCATGCAGCCTGTGCTGGCAGGGAATGGAGGCTGAGGACTGGTCTGGCAGCTGAGGCAGGCTCAGGCCTGGGATGAGGAGGCAGTGTGGTAAGTCAGAGAGATGGCCAGACCTCAGAGGAAGGGCCCACCTCTGCACCTGGCTCTGCTCCTAGCATGCTGTGTAGCTTATGGAGGCATTTGTCCTCTAGGCCTCAGTTTTCTTACCTGTAAAGCGAGAGGGTTGGGCTGTGTGATCTCAGAGGTCCCTCCAACCCCTGTGAATCTGTCATTTTCCCCATTGCTCATTGCATTTGCAGCCCACTGGCATTGTGCAGGATCACTTACCCTAAATGTGGAGGCTATGATTTGTCATCCTGCCGAAGCATCCATCAGGCTCCAGGGTAGTGCTGGGGCACCAGAACTTGTGGGAGAGCAGGGCAACCATTCATCATTCACTCAGTAAACACTGAGTGCCTACCTTGTACAGGAAATGGGGCTGAGCTGGTGGTCCTGTGGCAGGGGCAGGTTTGGAGGGGGGAATAGGAATGGCTCATGGCCTCAAGAGACTTATAGACCCAGGTGTCAACTGGAAAGAAGAATGGAGAAGCCTGGAAAGGGAGCCAGGGGAGCCAGCAAGCTCCAGATGACACTGTGGGTTTGAGCAAGGCCCAGGACAGGGCTGAGCTCTAGTTCTACCCCAGTGAATGCCTTGGCCCCTCATACTTTGTCCTGCAGCCACGCAAGCCCTGGGCTCTGAGGTCCCAGCCTGTTTGGCCTCTGCAAAAAGAAAGGAGCCCTCCTTCCCCAAGTCCACAGTTTGCTGACCACCCAGTTTGTCTCCAGTAAAGAGCCAGAAGAGCGAAGGTGGAGCAGCAGGAAGAGGCAGGCACTAGCATGGGAGCCAGGCACTGGGGGTTTGGCATTTCCCTGCTTCTCAAGCCAACTGTCCTGCTACCTTTCAAGACCCTCTGCCTATTTCTTACTCTCACCAGAGAAAACACATAATAAGAAAAGTCACCAGTGCCATTTTGCCCAGGCCTGAAAGGCTTCATTGGGATTCTACACAGCTCCCGTGCCCTTGCCTGGTGACATTCAGCAAGTTGCGTCAATTCTGTAGAAAGCTGTTTGCTGAGTAAAAGGATATAAATCACCCATTCCCCTGGAGACTGAGAGAACCCAAGCCACAGCACTCTCCAGAAAGCAGCTGGACAAGAAGGGGAGAGGCTGACAGCCTCTGGAAGGGGAAAGGATGGGACCCCTGAGACCCATCCTAACTCTTTTGCCTGTGGGGACAGGAAAAAGGGCTATCAGCATCTGCCTCAGCTCTGACCTATGTCTGAGCATCACAGAAGCAGTAACATTTGCCTCCAGAATCAGGCCCTCGGGGCTCATAGAAGCTGACCTCTCCATCCTTTTGCGTCCTACTTCCATAGAAGACACATTCCAAGGAAGAATGTGTTCAACCAGGCTTTATTCAAATAATAATAGATGGCATTCTGAGCTCAAAGAATTATGTCCACTAGTGTTTACCTGGAAAGGGCATTTTGATTTTTTAAAGAGAAACCAGCCTTACTTTCATTTGCCAAGTGGGAATAATATGAATTAGATCTTTTAAATGCATATAAAGTACTTAACTCAGCACCTGACACTTAGAAAGTTCTTTTTTAAAACGTTAGCTATTTCTATTATTATCTTTCCCACTTAAAAGCCCAAGGCATTAGATAGACACCTTCCCCCCAACACACACACACACACCCCACCCCCAACACAGGGAAAGCACAGACTCTCCAGGTTTGGTTTGAGACCAAGTCTACTGCTCAGACAGCAAGAATTTGTGGGCTTCTGGGGGAAGGGAGGGAGCTCATTTGGGGACCAGGCTGGACTCTGGGGAAGTCCTCCCATTGCTGAGGAGAGAAGGGCAGTGGCTGGCCCAGCAGCAGGATCTAGACAGCAGCTGGAATTAGGACCTTGTAGGCCTGAGAGCTTCTCCCTCAGTTTTCACATGACTGGGAGATTTGGCTCTGCTCTATTTCCTTTCTATTCGCTTCAGTGGGATTGAAGGCCGGTGAATGAGGTCTGTGCCATGGTGGCAGTGAGAAGTCTCCTTCCTGTCCCAAGTGGTCTCCCCCATTGTGGATCTCACATACAGAGGGCACTGGTATCTGTGATTTCCGCAGAAATGCACAAAGGGCAGCTTTTGGTGTGTGCTGCCAGAAGGAAATTTCCCGAGTGTTCCTTTTCTCTGTGTCTAATTCATTCTTTGTTAGAGATTACAGTTTGACATTTTAGTCAGATTTCATTTTCATAGAAATGTGTTGGCCAGCATGTAACAGATTTGTTCTTTTTAGGGGACATTCAGAAATGAAGACAGATTGTCTGGCAAACTCAACAGGCTGGAGGGCTCTGGCCTTTCATCACTAGGAAGACATTATTTGAGAACATCCTGCCCATAGTGCCATGTGGGGCCTCAGAATGGTTACCTTGTTCCTGAGGAATTCCATGAGGAAGACGCGAGTCTGAGGGCCCTGGCATGTCTGGGGGAGGGTGCAGAGAGGTCTGAGGCAGAAAGGGATAGAGACTTGGGGTTATTTCCACTGCTCTGAAAACCAGACCCTGCCACCACCCAGAGGAGTGAATGGAAGGAGGGGGTCTCTTCTAAAAGTGATGTTTTGGGGTTTATAGCCTTGACCTCCTACCTCTCCAGTGCTCTTCCCCCAACCCCAACTCACCCATCCACCTACCCCCCTCACCTACTACCCCCCCACACACAAATACACACACACAACACATAGATGAAAGAATCCCCTTCCCCTTAACAGTAAAAAGTCATGAGCATTTAAGAGCCATTTACTCCTGTGGAGGTCTTGGGACCTCAAATGTGGGGTGAGTAAGTCCAGAGTTGAGACTCCCTTTGGCTTGGTCACGTTATCATACAAACTGGGCTTTTCCCCCAAATGAACATACCTACCGCCCAATTCCTTCCTGGTCACTCAGGCCCTAGTCCTGGAGGGGTCTCTCTCAAGCCCCGTGTGATATTCAGGTGTGGCTGAAACTGGCCACTCTT